GGACGCCTTTTCCGCCGTTCGGAACCGACGACCGGACGGCCGCCGCGCGTCCGGATGCGACGGCCGGACGCCGACCAGAATAAAAAAAAGAATTAAAAATATTTAATGCGTAAAAAAAAATAAATTACCTTGCTAGAGAAGAACGCTTTGCCGATGCCGTAGGATTTTTTTGACATTTTTTTGGATTTTTTCGGTGCTCGAACGCTCGTTGAAAGTTCGGAAATTTAGAGAGATAGAGTCTGAAAAAGGGTTAAGGACAAAAGAGTAAATGGGGGGGTGGGCGGTGACTAGTAAAGGCGGGACGGTGAATAGTAAATGAGTTTCTTTAAGTTAGGCCTAACCTAATGTTTACAATTTCTATTGATTAAGACCCAATCTCAGAGGCAAAGAGTTCCGACTATCTCTTACCTAAGTTGATGGGGGGTCTGGGATTTCATGATCTTCAATTGTTTAATGATGCACTTATTCTAAAACAGTTGTGGAGAATTGCTTCCATGCCAAATCTGTTGGTGAGCAAGTTCTTAAAAGGCAAGTACTTTCCTTCTGTTTGCATTTTCAAAGCTTGAACTCCCTAAAGTGCCTCATGGCTGTGGACAACTTGGATGAAGGTCAAAGATAAATACAAGCACTGTTTCAAAATCCAGATTGGAGATGGCCTAACCACTCGTATTTGGCAAGATCCTTGGATCAGTAGCTCAACTTCAGGTTATCCACAAAGAGATGTTTCAAACAACTCTGAAGCTCAATGGGTATGGGAACTTATGGAAGATGGAGGTAGAAGATGAAACTCAACACTGGTGAAGCAGATATTTAATGAGACAGACAGTGCAAAGATTCTGGAAATCAAAAGCCTTAATCCTGATGTCAAAGACAAATGGGTTTGGATGAATGATGCTAAAAAGGACTTTTCTGTGGCTAAGACTTATTCTACTCTGGTGGAAGACAAATTCAGAAAGCTAAATGTGGCTGAAAGCAGCAGGTCTGCAAGAATGCTAAGGAAAACTAGATCAAGAACATGGAAGTTTAAGGTTAAAGGAAAGTTGAAACACTTTGTGTGGAAATGCTTTTCTGAGGCTCTACCAGTCAAAGTTGCACTCAGAAGAAGAGGAATGTTTGTTGATGGTATCTGTGGGGAAGAAGTGGAGACAGTTGAACACATTTTTCTACATTGCAGTAGAGCAAAAGAAGTTTGAAAAGCAGCTCCAATACAGTGGGACTTAACTGTACATCCAGGGACAAAGTTCAGAACTTGGTGGGGAGATGTATGTTCAATCAACAAGTTGGAGGTTTCTGAAGCTAGAATAGAACTAACCACCTACATTCTTTGGTGGTTATGGAAGGTAAGAAATTTATGAGTCTTTAAGAAGGAATAGATGCCATCTAAGTCTGTGGTCAAAATGGCTCCAATGATTGGCAGGAGTTTGCTCACAGAAGGATGATCCCTGTGGCTGATTCATCTTCTGTTACTCTGATTTTATTTTCTTGTTAGTGTTTGTGCTTCTTGTATTTGAACCTTATTTTTTTGTATCAGTTTGTTGGTCTTATTATGAGGTTGTAGGCTTTTGATGTATTGGCTCTGTGAATGCCTTGAACTGATGCAACACTAAGGGTGACAGATCCTGTTGGCTGGCCTTAGTGTGTGCGGGTTCAAAGTGCATTTCATAGAGCTTTAGTATTTTTAGTTCTTTAGTTTAGAGCTCTCGAATGTGAGTGCCTCTCCTTATTAGAGTCAGTTGACTCTCGAATTATATTTGTGTACATTGGTGCTATAATATCATCTATCGTTTCAGGAAAAAAAAAATGTTTATAATTCTTTAAGTTAGGTCTAACCTAATGATGAGAATGTAACGCAAACGATAGGGGTTGCATATGTTGAGATGGTACACTCAAATAGGAACAAATACAGCAGTACAAAAGAGAAACCTGAATTTGCTTTATTTAATTATAGTTGAAATCTTGTTATTCTACTAGACAAACACATTTGCTCATGTTTATAATTCTTTAAGTTAGGCCTAACCTAATGATGAGAATGTAACGCAAACGATGGGGGTTGCATATGTTGAGATGGTACACTCAAATAGGAACAAATACAGCAGTACAAAAGAGAACCCTGAATTTGCTTTATTTAATTATAGTTGAAATCTTCTTATTCTACTAAAACACATTTGCTCCAAGTTAAATAACTTAAAATTTATCATCCCACAGATTATATTAATGTAAAAAAGAACACTTGCAAGCCAACAATAATCTCAAGGGTCGAAGCTGTAAAGTTAATCAAGTAACCATGCACCTGTATAACAAAAATCACAATAAAGTTCAACTTCATAGCCAAACAACTTTCATTACTCCAAGAAAACACGACAAAACTCTCGAGCCGCCCCAGCAGAGTTGAGGCACCTCAAAAAACAGAGAAAAACACAAAAACAACACCATGACCCAAACACTGCCACCGCCTATCAAGCACCCAATCCTGGGACGACCAAGCACTCAACACACAAGCCAATAAACAGTACAAGAGAAGAAAAAAACAGTCTAGCAAAGCAAAAATCACGAAAACAAAAGCCTCCCAACAAATTTCATCAAGGTAGTAATAGAGTTCAATATCTCCATAACAAGATATCATAACAATCTGCACCATTCACTTGGCACCCTTCTTAGCTGCAGCCTTTGTGACCTTAGCACCCGAAGCATCCTTCTTCTCAACACTCTTGATCACACCAACAGCTACAGTCTGCCTCATGTCACGAACAGCAAATCGTCCAAGTGGCGGGTACTCGGCAAAGGTCTCAACCACCATCGGCTTAGTTGGAATCATCTTGACAAACCCAGCATCTCCATTTTTCAAGAACTTGGGCTCCTTCTCGAGCTCCTTACCCGATCGCCTGTCAATCTTGGTCACAAGTTCAGCAAACTTGACAGCAATGTGAGAAGTGTGGCAGTCGAGCACCGGTGCATATCCCTGTCCAATCTGTCCAGGGTGATTCATGATAATCACCTGAGAGGTAAAGTTAGCAGCTTCCTTAGCCGGATCTTCCTTCGAGTTCGAGGCAACATAACCGCGCTTGAGATCCTTAACAGCAACATTCTTCACGTTGAACCCGACATTATCACCTGGGAGAGCTTCCTGCATTGCCTCGTGGTGCATCTCAACAGATTTAACTTCAGTGGTCAGACCAGAAGGGCCGAAAGTCACCACCATACCAGGCTTCAGAATACCCGTCTCTACACGGCCAACTGGGACAGTTCCAATACCACCAATCTTGTAGACGTCCTGAAGGGGAAGGCGAAGAGGCTTGTCTGATGGCCTCTTGGGCTCGTTAATCAAGTCAAGAGCTTCCAAGAGAGTCGGGCCCTTGTACCAGTCCAGGTTTGTGGATCTCTCAATCATGTTGTCACCTTCGAAACCAGAAATGGGCACAAAAGGAATTTTGTCGGGGTTGTACCCAACCTTCTTGAGGTATGAAGAGACTTCCTTCACGATTTCGTCATACCTAGCCTTGGAGTATTTGGGAGTGGTGGCATCCATCTGCATGCAGTACAAATTACATAATTACGTTTAGTTTAGATCATGTAAAGGTGACAATCAGCAAAACATATACTCCCTCTGTTTTAAAATAATTGTCGTTCTAGGTGAAAAAAACAAAATTACGTCTTTGAATTGGTTATCTTTACCACGCTATTAGATTTTCTAAATCTCCTAAATTTTATTTAAATACCTTTTTAATATGTTTCTCTCTCCTTATCAGTTTTATAGGTATCAAGATATAGAACAAAGGGCGGGTGATTATCTCAAGAAGAAAACAAAAAAAAAGTGCTTCCATGTTGGGAATGAAGTTAGAGAGCTTATAGATAAAGATACGAATCATTAAAAAAAAATAACAAGCATGAACTAAACCTTTGGAATTTTAGGATTTTAGGATTTTATCAAACTAATTAGTTGATGGTTATCTAAAACGACAAATTAATAAGTAAAAAGAAATACACACTCAAACAACAAGTATTTTAAAACGGAGGGAGTATGCAAGAATATGCTTTGAGAGATTTCTGACCGACCTTGTTGCAACAGCAAATCATTTGCTTGACTCCAAGAGTGAAAGCAAGCAAAGCATGCTCACGTGTCTGACCATCCTTGGAAATACCAGCTTCAAAACCACCAGTTGTGGAATCGATGATGAGAACAGCACAGTCAGCCTGAGAGGTACCAGTAATCATGTTCTTGATAAAGTCACGGTGTCCGGGGGCATCAATGACAGTGCAGTAGTACTTGGTGGTTTCGAATTTCCAGAGAGCAATATCAATTGTGATGCCACGTTCACGCTCGGCCTTGAGCTTGTCGAGCACCCAGGCATACTTGAATGACCTCTTGTTCATCTCAGCAGCCTCCTTCTCAAACCTCTCAATCACACGCTTGTCAATGCCACCAAGCTTGTAGATCAAGTGACCAGTTGTGGTTGACTTCCCAGAGTCCACATGGCCAATAACCACAATGTTGATGTGAACCTTTTCCTTGCCCATTTCAAGCTGTCACTGCCAATTTTCAGGTGTTGTTACTTACAGAGTTAATACAAATTACCAAACAGATCAATGAAGAAACCATTAGTGGTTACATTAGATATTCAGCTGACAAGAATTTAACAACCCTTTAGGTACTAAATTATTCCAGATAATATACAGGTAAAACGTCAAAGATAAATCAAGTAAAAATCGCACGCAGTAGAGAAATTACAAGACAAAGGTGAACTCGTGCTGATCTGAATTCTCAGAGTTAGCAAAACAACTCCATTCATTAATCTATATTAAACGCATATAAATTGGCTTTTGTTGAACTGCATAGATTATGTGTTCTCATCTACGGTTGCACTAAAACAAATGATATCAAACCTTGATACTATAATTCAAGAGAAACAGTCTTTAAATTAAATATTTACATACGATTTATGAGAAAAAGGGTAAGCAGTAAAACTATAAAACAGTATTTTTCGTGGAGCAATCAATCAATCAGGCATATGCACAAACATTTGATATTAAACAAAATAGAGGATAAGTCGAAATACAATCTTCTACGAACTAACCTTGGTGAGAAATCTTGCTGGAGATGCTCAGAAAAACGATTTCGCAATGCTTACAATCGAAAGGAGAGCAAGAGAAGTGTCTCTGAACGAAAAAGAGTTTTTATAGTTGGGAGAGTGTGATTAGGGTTTTTTGTGGAGCGTTGGATAAAATGAAATCTGACGGACTAAGATGTACATTTCTTTGCCAGTGGCGGGGATGCCCTAGCGTCGTTGTTTACTATCGCGGCTGTTTTTTTTTACTGTTTTGTTCTTGGATTTTAAGTATTTTTATTTATTACTAGTTGTAACACGTGCATCTACACGAAAAACTATATGATAAAGAGAAAAATTATATTTAAAAGATGTCACCTCCTTTTTTTCATAAATGTCACTAGTACAATACACGAGTGTTGAATTAGAAATTTTTTGTAAAAAAATATTAAATTTTTATTTTTTTAAAAATAAAAATAATTTAATTTTATATAAAACATTACTTTGGGTTTTAATTAAATTATCATATTATATATTTTTAATCATAATAATTAAACACCATTTATTAAATGAAAATGTCAACCCGTATTAAATTTTTTTACTTATATTATATAAAAAAATCGATATTATTTACTACTAGATAAGTACAAAAAAATATATCTTAAATAAATAGAAATAATATGGTGATATGTATATGCATAAGTGTAGAATAAGTTTATTTAATATTAAGCAAAATAGATGATCTGTTTTACTTAATTAAATGAAAATGTCAACCCATGTTGAATTTTTTTACTTCTATCATATAAAAATATCGATATTATTTACTATTACATAATTTTAAAAATATATATCTTAAATAAATAGAAATAATATGGTGATATGTATATGCATAATTGTAGAATATGTTTATTTAATATTAAACAAAATAGATTAATTTTTTTACTTAATTAAATGTCTAATACATCAAGTGTCGTATCAGTCGTGCTTCACACTTTTTTAATTTTATATGTAATTTTAGAATTTATATAAATAATTATTTTATTACATTGACAACATACCAATTAGATTTGAAATAAATATTATTTTTAAAAGAATACATACTAATTTCTATTACTTTATAATATAATTTATATTTTTATTTGATATAATTTAATTTAGTTTAATAAATAAATTTAAATTTTATTTATAAGGATATGTATTACTATTTTGTATTATATATATAGTAAAATACAAACGGACTTCGTAATATCAATTCAAATGCAACACACTAATTAAGATTTTTTTTTCTTGACAGTATTAACCCTATTTAATGGATGTTATGGGAAACAATGGTAATGGGATATGAAGAGACGTTGTGTGTTAGATTGAGGGTTAAAAATGAAAAAGTATGAACAAAATATCTAAAACGTCATTTATTTTATCAATGATCAATTAAGCCAAAGTGACAAATAATAAAAATAGGAGGGAACATATGTTATTATATATTTTAGTATGACACATGTTACTTGTGCGACTTATATGTGTTATATTGTAATAAATTTTCTACCTTATAACATATAACTACATTAAACATATATATCAATTGATAATAATTTTATTTTCTAATTAATTTTAATAAATAATTTTTTTATTATTATAAAGATAAGTATAATTTATTTATTTTATATATACAATATGGATGTCAAATCGAAGCTCATCAAAAGATGATTAATTTGATATATTATATATGTAAAACGATAAGAAATACAAAAGTTGTCAACTTTTAAAATATATTATTAATTCAATGGTTATAATAGGAAATAATATTAAAATACAATTAATATAAATATTAATTTATATTCAAGCCTAACTCCAAAGCGTGAATTTTTCCCAAATAGGATTCCAAAGCATGAGAGTTTGCCACGTAGGCTCAGCGCATTCTGAAATTATATATAGAGGGGATTTTGGTTTTATCAACAATTGACTAAATAAATGACGTTTTGGATCTTTTGTACATATTTTTCCATTATTATCCTTATCTAGCTAATAAATACACTACGTCTTTTCATATTCACTATTTATATTTTCTCAATACATCAATCTCTATCCTCATTAATGAAAGTTATTATTGACAAAAAAAGTATTCTTAATTAGTGTGCAACTTTCTAAAACGACATCTATTAAAAAAAAAAGGAGAGGGTATAAACAATAGTAAAATCATAGTATAATCATTAGAAAAAAAAACGTTTTAAAAATGAAAATCTAAATATTAATCCCTCTGTTTTAAAATAATTGTCGTTCTAGGTGAAAAGAACAAAATTACATATAGAAGATAATTAGTTGTCTTATCCTATACATTAGATTTTCCTAAATCTTATTATCCTTTTTAACAAATTTCTCTCTCCTTAGTTTTTCACGTAAGTTGTCAATATGAATATTTTATATCTGTATTTCTGCATTTTTTTTTATAATTCTTTTCCCTCACTTTCTCATTCCATGAAAATTTCGTCCAACCTCCATAGATATTTCCTAAAAGTTTCAAATTTTTGGTGAAACACTTCCATGAAAATTTCGTACGAGCTCCCCTTATATTTCCTAAAAATTCAAAATTTTGGTGATTCAAAATAAAATGGATCCAGTTAGTGATGATAATTAGTTCTATTTGGTTTCCTATATATAAACTAGAATCAAATACTAACAACAATGACTTCAAATATAGAAAATCATGCCAGAAAAGTTTCCTTTTTTCGACTTAAATGTTGCGCCAATGAATTCGGAGATCGAAGATAATACTATTAACACTATCTTATTATTTGTGGAAGGTACCTTGTTACTTGATTTGAATACGGATCCACATCAAGATATTGAAACTCCAGTAATAGAATTAGAGGCTAGTCAATCGCAAGAAGATAATGGAGACGTTTCGGCACTAAACTCGGGTACTTTGTGTAATAATATTTTATATATTATTCTATTATTGTGGACCATATAAATTAATTGGACCTAATTGAATTAATAGTCAAACTTAATTAAGATGAATATGTATTTAATGGATTATTAATGTTCTAATATAAAAGAGTCCAATTTGTGATGTTTGACTTGGACAGTAAGTTAGGTTAGAACATGGGAAATGTTAGTAGGAATAGGTTTGTAGGATTCCTCCTATATATACTACATGCTCCTCTCTCCCATCTCATACGAAAATAAAGTTCTCAACATCAAGGGCTTTATGAAAAGACGAGAGACGCGGGAGAGAGAAACAATTCATAGGCAAAAGCGAATCCATCATTGGAGATTATGAGAAAGATAGATCCATGACATTACGAGGACGAAGAGATCGCAGATCATCATCTATAGATCAAGAAAACAGAGAAGGACTATAAGCTGGATTCTTGTAAGTTCTATGTGCAATTTAATTTATGCAACGATCCATATTCTATGAACTGATAGAATTACATGCTTAGGTTTTATTCAATTCCGCCTGATAGTTATGAGTATGCCCGTTAAATTTCTTACATGTGGTATCAGAGCATGTGTTTATGCTTAATTATTTTGTCGATTAAAGTATGCAGTTATATTGCCGCTTGTTATTAGTCGCGAATTGTTTTCTATTGACTTATGAAAGATTTGATCAATTTGATGTTTTTGCATGATACTGGGGCAAATAACGTAATTGTGCTCAAATTGCTTATTAATTTTCTCAATACTCATCCCATTAATGATTACATGAAGACTGGCGTGATGTATTATTTCATTGGCGCAAATATATGGATTATTCTTCATATGTTGGAATTATTTGCGGGATATTGAAATTGGCGCATGGAATTATTTGCTGGACATATTAATATTGCCGCTAAGTGTTTTTTCTGTACATATGTTATATTCTTGGATTGGTAAATAATTCTAGTTGCACAAGCATGTTTCTTCTGTACATGTTCTTTATTCTTAAGAATTATTTACTGAAAAGCTTATATCTTTGATCATGGATTCTTGCCGAGAATTTAGAATAATTGAGGTTTATATTCGAATGGTATTTTTCTTCAGGCTAATTTCAGAGATTATAAAAGTATGAATATCTCATAATATGATCATATAAAATATTTTCTAATTACATTATCTATGTAAAGAAACTAGTTAGTCACCAAAGTGGCCTAGTTTAATTTATGGAATAGATAATTAAATTAGATGAAATATCATTAAAATAAAACATTATCTAATAATATTATCTATGTAAGAAACTAGTTAGTCACCAAAGTGGCCTAGTTTAATTTATGGAATAGATAATTAAATTAGATAAAAGTATCAATTATTCAAATATAAGACGATGTCTTATTAATGTACCCTAATATTATAATATTTGAATAATTGACGTTATAGATTATAAACTAGGAGGACACCCAAAGATGGGCCATGGTTTGTAATATATGACAATAAAAGAGAAATTATATTAAAGTTAGGTTAATTAGTGTGTTTGTCCAAAGATAACCACTAATT